AAATTGGGAGAGGCCAACAACAAGAGCCATCAATTTCACAGTCAGAGTAAATTTGTTCATTTAATTGTCACCGGGATTGAAGGCACAGTTCACGATAATTTTGGGTAATCCAGATTATGGTGAGAAATGGAAGACAAGATCGAAAATAGTGCGATGGAGGTGAAGAAACTGCGTGCATCGGTGTTTCCAAAGTGAAAAAAGGCTTCAAAAAGCCGTTAAAAGGGGGGCTGGACGAGAGTGAAACCAGAAAAAGGAAGAAGGATGGGGCGTCCGGACGAGCTAAACAGTGTGTTGCATTGCGCGCGTGTGGGTCCTGGTGGGAATAACGGACCACGGTAAGTAGAAATATATTCACTCATAAGCATAAATTAACAAATAAAGCCCTAGTATAGCAAAAATAGCGCACTTTTTCAGTTCCTCGGGATAGAAAATTAAATAAGGGGTCGCGGCAGCAAAAAGAATAACAGAAAAAAGAATGGGAGAAAAACATCGCCTCATCACTCGGCGATTGTGTGTAGGTCCTAGAACGAATATTGCATTCTGTATCGTCTCGACACTCGTCTGACGTGACATTGTCCCGCCCCTCGAATTATCGTGAACTGTGCCTTTAACAAATACAATTTTATTTGGCTCATGGTTGCTAAGTTGTCAGATTCGGCAGAGCCTAGAGCCTGGAACCCGAAGTTATGTTAAACTTGCCCTTCCACATTAATTTCAGCTGTTCAGCTGGAATATAAGTTACGGGACACCTAAAGCGGTCTCATAAGTTACGATAGAAGGTTACTGGTACATTTGATGCCATGACCATAACTCAGGTCAGACTCCGGACAGTGTATGTATTTGATGATGGGTAACAAACCCTTACCCTTCACACCTTCCTGACCGGGACCTTCAGCCCTCCTTTCGAATCCGCCTTCGTTTTCAATAGCGAACGGAAACTTATACTGGAAGCAATGGTTGCCTGCTCCAGACTGGGAACTATGGTAATTCTCCAAAGGCTGCCCTCATCTATTACTGGTAGGAGTGGCTCAGTGAGAATGTAGGGGATTCATCAAATTGAAATGATAACAAAATGTATTACGGACTCAAATTCGTAGTCGAAAAAACGGAGTATTCAGATGGAATAGCAAACAGCTCAACATATGTTTTCAGAGAAGAGAATGTATATAAAAGCTGTTATCGAAGAAACAAATCGGAGAAAAAACTTGATGACATTATATAAGAATAGGTAGATGACGATCGAGGTGGATTACGCGTGATGGCATTTCTCGTCTTTTTCTATCAGCGCATTGTTACGGAATGTTACTATGGTAACTAGCGAATCCAAGAGCGACACGACGCTGGTTACAACACACACACAAACTGCTGACTGCTGCCGGAGGTCATTAGTGAGGCTTGTCTGCGCAGGGGCAGTCGAACTTGGCACACCTACTTCACCCACAGGTGGTTCATTGAGTGCAAAGTATCGCGAGGGACGCGAGGGCAATGGGAATGGGGCTATCCATACGTGGATTGAACGAGACTACCTAGGCAACATTTTCACGTCATTTGACAACGATTTGTTGGGAAGTGGCAACTACCATGAGTATTGAACAAGTTTCCCAGGACACCAAAGTCCACCGCATCCATAGTGTCTTACCCAACGCCTGGATAGATAGCTGCCTGAAGAACTTGGAGGAAAGCGTGGGAATTAGTTAAGGCATGGTATTATTAGGACTACTGCTCTAATTCTCGAGTATGCCAATGGAATTTCAGTTTTTTACGAAGGCTCGACAAATTTGTAGAGAATACTTGTATGTGACTAGTCGTAAATGAGTTCGAAAGCTCCCACGTGCTCCCAGGTGTTGGGATGCCCAGCAAAAGTACACTTACAAGGGAAGGATACTTGGTCGCAGTGGCCATTCAAGATGAGATGTATATCCCCGTAGGTGGTTTCGAACGCTGATTTTAAATCTGTGTTTCAAATCTGCGAAACGACTCTGGGAACAAAGTTACGGGACCAATACCTCCCCTGTGTTATAGCACTGCACCGAACGGATCACCGGGTCGAGCAAACGCAGTACAGTGCAGTGGCGGCCTAGGGGCTAGTGCGGTAGACTGACAGGCATAATATCAAGGTTTCGTTCCTTGGTGCATTCCTTCGTTTTGCTTTTCCAAAAAATGCGTCCTAAACGCTTGCAAAACGTTTTTGGGCTCAATGCTGGGCATCTACAGGGCTTCCTCACAATTTAGGACTCCTGGGAATGGTGATCCAATGAAAAAATTTTTCACCTTTGTCGACCGCATATACACGCCTCTCTACCACTGACAGTCAAGATGGTGTTTCGAAATTATCGGCAGCTCCCTGCACTTACGGTAGACGGCGGTCGAATGACTCAACCGAAGGACAGCAACGTCGAAAAAGTGAACGGGGAGCCGGACTTTCTTTGTATTCTTCACTACTCCCTCAATATTCTTAAATATTCTATGACTACATTCTATGGCTTCAGTTTTAGTAACGTCCATTTTCACGAGCTCCTTCGACCTCTTCTTCGGGGCTCCTCGTTCTGACTTCACACTTTGGATCTCTCCTTAATGGGTAGTACGTCGGGCTTCTCAAGACGTGCCCATGCCATCACAGTCAATGCCCTTTCAGCGCTACTTGTACAAGGATCTCTTTGCATGACCGCTGCAGATCTCTTTTCAACACCTGAAGTATCGTACGACCACTGAGGATATCATTAAGCTCTCCTCACTTCTTTCGTCCCGCCGTCTTCCAAGAGTCTCCACGGAGAGGTTTACGGCACCGTCAGCTGCGTGGTCTTTAGAAGTTTTCTCCTCTATCGATTGTTTTCCCATTAGAGGTGTACGGTATACATGTGCTTCCCTTACAGCTAGAAACTTGGTCATCTCCTCTTCAGTAGGACAAAGACTTGACTAGGAGCTTATTCTTAGTATCTGCAGGGGCAGTAAACGGTCAATAGCGTAGGGAGGCCAGACATGCGCTTTCTCTTCTTCATTTCCTGCTCACCTGACCAGGGTAGTTTTGAGATAGTCCAATTATCACTTGGATCCGCCCAGACTGGGTCGTCTGGACAGACGTTCAAGGTCATATTTTTTCAGAGCTCCTGCAACCCTACAATGTATGTAACGTCAAAAAGGTAATCACCAAATGGTCGAGTTAGACATAATATTTACCCACATGAAGGAAGGGTGTACGATTATTTGGATGCCGATAAAAATGAAATTCTCTGTAGGACGAAGTTCGGCTGTAAAGAAAACCCATATCTTCCACTGGAAAGCGATATAAGAAGGTCTCTGTTCACGCTTAGTGTGGTGGGATAAACTAGAAAAGACCAGGCGATGGTTAACAGTTACATTTCCCTTCTACCGTATCCCTTATACAGAATAAGCGAAACTCGTACCTAATATGTAGTTAACTTGTTGTAAAAGAAGGGGGTCACATAACCAAAGAAATCGTGCTCCGACAACGAGGCAAGTCCAGGAGCCACCGTAGTCTCAGCAATTTGAGCAAGTGAAATTCAGATTTATTCCGGGGGCAAACTTCTCGGAAGGACTTCTTTTCACGTGTTACTTACACACGAATAGAGCGAACTTGGTTCAGATTATTTGGAACAGGAGTTTTTTTGGATCTCGTCCAAGAACTGCGATTTCATTGGGTAACAAGACGACCATATCTTACACTGCTTTTACTTTTTCATAAGAATAGATAAGAATGGAGCGTTAAAAGAAGTATAAACTCACCATTTGCATCTTGTCGACGGACGATTTGGTCATCAGATTTCATTCGATTGAGCGTCACGGCGCATGTTGCATCGTCCTTGA